TATACACATTGCCTAAAAAAGTTTTAAAAAACATGTTCTATTTATCGACTTGTTGTTGCAAGTAACCTCTATTCCAATCTATATTTATTAAATCCTAAATGTTCTTGTGACCCTGCAGAAGTTTAACTGCATCGTCAGTTTTGGTTTCTGAGTTGCAACAACATAACTGGCTTGATTCTCAGCAGACTTTGCCTAAAAGGCGGAGAAGAAAAACAGTAGAGAGAAACTTTTTTATCTAGCCCCATAATGAATAGCTAACATAGAGTGCTGTTTAATGAAAGATCTGTCAAATACAGTGTGAGAAGATAAGGTATCAGTCAAAGAGAGATAAGACTGTGTGAGAACTGCTCAGAATTGTTTAACTAACCCTAACACTGGCAGACGGACAGGTCAAAGAGTCCCTCTGAAGAAAGAATTTTATGCAAATTTTCAAGTGAAGCCTAAAAGGGCCACACAAGGTCACAAAGATCTGCAGACATACCTGTCAAACAGCCCCCAACCCCAAAAGTGATTTTAATATGAAGAGCTTTACCATCTCCAAGAGGTGAAGGGAACACAGGCATCTCATAGCCAGTGGGCGTCTGTGGGGAGCTCTGAGAGCTGGTGTCTCTGGAACTGCAGTTAGAGGCTGAGCTCACCGGCGCTGACGAGACAAAATAGATGTCCGACTGTGGGCGGAAAAACAGAAGCAAGCAGAGTGTAGTAGAGGCCAGGAACAGCAGATAGATAACAGACATAAGATGAAAGGAAGAAAAAAAAGAAACAGAAAAGAGACAAAGGTGTGTGTTTGATGGCAGGTGAATGCTTTTTCTTTTATATTTTATTTCATGACAAATTATTAGTTAAAGTAACAGACCTGGAAACGACTCTAAACTGAAAATATTTACATAAGACATAGACATAAATAGAAATACCCTGAAAGGTTGATTTATTTTAGCATTTCTATATAAAAAGTGATAATCATACAAAAAGAGTTTTATAATCCCACCCTTTTTCCTCTGATCACATTGATGACCTAATCTTAAATTAATCCAAAACCAAATCAATTTTACTGTTGAAATTATTATAAAAAGTAAAAATGAATTATGATAAATATGTGTAGCCTGTGTAATTTTTCTTATTATTTTATATGGTTAATACATCTCTGCAGTGGAAATGCAATAATCCAAGTCAACAACTGGGGAGTCTTCCCTTAGCTCTCTACTGTGCAGATACTTTTATTTCTAAGGGAAACATATTCCAGGACATTACAACTTTTTTCTTTTTTTTATGCGTTTTTGTACAATATACATTCTTTTTTTATATTGTATGCTTTATATTTATCTTTATTGGCATGTTGCTTTAACTCTTTGTACTTTATATAAGCTACTGGAACCAGAATTTCCCTGAAGGAGTAATCCCAAGGGATAAATACAGTTGAGTCTAAGTCTAAGACTTAATAATACTGTGTGTTTGCTTAGTGCATAATACATGAAAGCCTACATCCTGGTATATACTGAGTTTAGGGGCTCCTGAAGCACTGAATTTTCAAGAGCATGTTTTCCTACAACTGGGTATGCAAGAAATACCATCTCTCTATCGAAATTTTTTTCAATTAAACTCATGCATCGAATATTAAGTTCTTAATAACTGGACACATTATATCTGTCTCATAAGGGATTTTCCAATTTACATAATCAAAATATTAAAATAAATTACCTTTGGATAATATTTGGATTTCTTTAGAGGTCCATCCTAGGTAGATATGTATCTGAACCAGATCATATGGGATAGTTTAGATCAGGCATCCCCAAACTCGGTCCTCGAGGGCTGCTGTCCTGCAGGTTTTAGATGTTTCTCTGCTCCAGCACAGCTGATTTTAATTGATAGTTGATTAACAGGCTTTTGCTCTACTGCAATCATCATAATCAGCTGTGCTAAAGCAGACAAAACCTCTAAAACCTGCAGGGCAGCGGCCCTCGAGGACCGAGTTTGGGGATGCCTGGTTTAGATCAACCTTGCTTTCTTCAATTTCTTGTTCATTTTAATGTCTGGTACAGCTAAAGGTACATTTGTTTGGACAAATAAATGAAAAATAACAAAAGTCTAATATATAATGAAAAAAACAATATCTCATGGTTTTCTTCATAACAACTAACATCCCGAGATTTTAGCTCCATGCTGCAGCTACTACCAAAAACAGCTGTCTGTTTTAGTGACATTATGCAAATATGAGTTATCACTCGATTGAAGAAGCATTGTTTTTGAAAACAAGGGTGGTCTAATATTTCTTTGCATGACTGCAAATCTATCTTATGCTGTATGCAGGGGTTTATATTTGCATAACCTCTGGTGGAAAAGCCCTTACACTTCAGGTAACTTTTGTGTGCCACATGAGCAGCATGATTTTGTATTGTAAAACCTTAATGTAAACTGAAGTGAGGTGTCAAATATTTATAAAACGATCTAAAAATGCCATATTACCCTTAATTTCATTAGTTAAATAAGATGAGCCCCCAGTGGAATGAGCATTTTTACCCTTAAAATAAGATAATTTGATATTATACACGTGAAACAAGAGACTGCAGTTGGTTTCTTAAATGTAATTTTCTTATTCCATTGGCAAAGTGTCTCACTTACCTACTCAATTAAAGAAAAAAAAAATCCTTTACTTTAAGAAAAAAAGACTTCAATTTTTGCAGTGTTGTTAGTTTGTTTCTTTCTTAATCAAAAAGCTGCACACATATTCTATTTTCTGTTATTAGCGATTACTCATTTTGCCATTGAAGTGCAGTTCTAATCAATCATAGGAACATTTTAGATCAGAATAATAACCCAGAGCCAACTGCGTCACTGTTAAAATGTGAAAGACAGTTTTTGCTCTGGGAAACAAGCATTTGTTGGCTCAAAAAAAGCCCTGGCCTAAAGGTGTAATTGCATCTAATCATACTGACCCTTGAGGAAGCCAGCTGCAGCTCCGGGACAACCGCTGTGTACACTAGGTTCCCATTGACCACCAGTCGGATCTCAATGGAATCCGTTGTGAAGGCGAGGATGTAAGGAAAAGCACAAACTGCAAACACAAGATGAGCACATGAAATCACTAATCTGGTTATTAGTTTATTAGCTTTATTTTTACACACAATCACAAGCGCAAAAAAAAAAAAAAAAATGCAGATAATCTGATAGGACAGGATGCTTCTCATCATGCCTGGTGTTTCCATGGTGACAGCAATGGGAAGGGTGGGGTGCTACCTACCAATTGCATTGGGCATCTGGTTCCAGCTGAAGTGGAAATCAGAGGTGTTGGACTGGATCATCGGTGTGGAGCCATTAAATGGGCAAACTTTCTTATAATAGCAAATATCTGGACAGAAAAACAGGTGCAGATTTTTAAAGACGAGTGTCTTTTCCATTTTTTATTACTGCTTTTTACTGTAGTTGGAACCAGCACTGAAAGCAAAACATATTTTTACTTGACAAAGTTGTTCAGAGTAAATAAAACAAAAAACAAACAACTTTGAGTTACAGTGTCTTACAAAGTACTTTTGTCTTACATAGTCCACTTTTTTATGTCAAAAAGAAACGTAAATGTATTCAGTGATCAATAATTAATAGTACCAAGTGGAAATAAAGGTTTCACTGCATCTTTTGACTCTAATATGCCTAGATAACATTCAGTGTAACCAAACGTCTCCAGGAGTCATTTTATAAGTAAACAGAGTCTACAACACTGCATGGCATAAAGAACACAGCAATTCCACTTTCAAACATTGTGGTGGCAGAAACATGCTGCAGGGTTGCTTTTCCTCAGTGAAAAAAAAAATTATGCCACTGTTTTTTTGTTGCATTTAAATAATCTTATTTAGTTACTTTAACAGAATTGCTTCATGTTAGCAGGGTAGGACATAAAACAATTGTGTTAAAATAACTAAATATGATTAAGTAAATGCCAAAATGGTTGCAGAATTTTTTTCCGTCTGGGTTGGTTGCACAAAAAACACTGGTGAAAATTTTCAGTCATCCAGGTCATAGTCACTCCAAAATTTCCAATTCCAATTAGCATGTTTTCAAAACAAAAACAAGGCTTTGTTGGGCTACTGTACAAAACCTCGAACTCAACGCTATTCCTGACATTTGAATTTTTAAAAGCTTCTCAGATGGGAAGCGAAACGTCTTCAAACTTGGAAACAAAGTCCAGTTGATTGTTTTTAATGTTCTTTTTTTGGGTCGCACAAAAAAACTAATGAAAAATTGTAACACGAAGGCTAAGGGCATGCAAACACTTCTGCTGCAAGGTGAATGTTTAAGAGCCCACTGTCCAGCTTTGACCTAAGTTATAAGGCATCTAAAATGTAAAAAGTCAAAGGGGGACTCACAGTTATAACACAAGAGCAGGCCTGCCTCCCCATCTTCATACACATCAATGGCTGCTACAAAGTTTACCTGCAGGCGGAGACAAGTCACTTTAAAGAAATCACTTGTACATCTGGAGAGTACAAAAGGTTAGAAATGGCAGAAGGTTTTTAAAGATTAATGTCAAGTCACTTATTTAAAAGGGTATAAAATCATCTCCAATATATCAGCATCAATGGCTACTTATTCTGTTAAATCTGAGTCTGAGGCTTTATTGCACCTTTTTGGGTGGTTATTATTGGCTACTTGAGCAGGTTAGTGATCAGCAGGTGAAAAAAGCTAATTAACGTTTCACTCTCATTTATAATAAAAATTACAAGGAAGGATAAAGGAATGTATGTAAACAAACTCCTCACCCTGTTAGCGTCTACATGATGAAGTCGATAGGCATCCCCGGTGCTCTCATTAATCAGGTCAAACTGGTGTTTGTAGGCCACGCATATCATGTTGTCGTTTTCCCCTGTCGGACCGTCTACCAACGCCATCACCACAGGCGGATCACACAGACAGATCTCCTGAGTAGAGGGTGGAAATCAAAATTTTGTGGAAACTTCCCCAGACCCACTCCTGTGGCCACCCCTACCAGCTGATTTGTTATTCCCATGTGGATATAATTCCCCACCTCTGAAAAACAGCAGCTCCTCTCAAAAAATATTTACATCAAAATTCTAATATCAAAGCTGAAAAGTACCGAATAGCTCTTTTCAGAGCCAGTTTTTGGTGTTTTATCGGAAGGAGGGATGTAATTGTGTGCAAACATAAATAAACACTGCTCAAACAATGTGATGTAAAATATGAATTGTGAAATTAATTCACTAAAGCAGGAGCTACAGTAAGGCTGATGAAGCTGCAAATTGATGGATGCATGAATAAGTATTGCCAGCAGATGGCGACAGCACACATAATACAGTATTTATGTCTGTTGATGGTGCCTGGTGCAAAAGACTAAAAAAATGACTAAGTAAACAACTAAAAACAAGAAGTTATTTTTAACAAGTTGTATAACACCATTATTTTCAATTCTGGATCAATATTTTTGATTAATTAAATCTGTCCAGATGTTTGCTATATATTGGTTTATTTTAACCTCAACAAATATTTTCCTTTGGTATTTTTGACAAAGTATGTGTCTGGGCTACTTCAAGATAGTTTTCCTGTAGTGACTGTATTGGGTCCATGACTAGTTTGATCCACTGTAAAGAAAATCTTACTTAAATTCAAGCTTCTTGATTTACTAATTCTTGCTTTTAAAATTATTGCATTTTCATGTGATCTTTCCTCTCTCGCTCTCTCTCTCCTTTCCTATTCCCTCTTTCTTTCTCACCCCCCATCCATTTCTTTGGCTATACGATTTAACTCCCTAAATAATTTTCAATAAAGCTTCTAGCTCTGGGACATCGATTTGCAAAGCTTTGTTGGTAAAACAGGATACAAATAAAAAAAACCTCATTGTCGTTGTATATTGTATAATAATAGCAAAATCGGTAAGACTGATTCATAAAAACTTTTTTTTATGAATCAGTCTTAAATTATCATTATTTATGCTAATGAGGATTATATTTAAATGTCTGACTGAATGTATATATATAAAAAAGCCTATAAAAATCTAGAAAGTATGATAAGTATCTTATTCTGATTTATATCCAATAGATAAATGTTTAATTTATCTTGTGTAGTAAAATGTAGATTGACATACACATAATTTATAAAAGAACTGACACTAAAGAGTCTTCAGTTTTTGACTGTATTGATCTATATATCTATACATCTGCATGTGTAAGTATGACTCTATGAGGAAACTAGGAGAAAAAAGCATATATAAAAAAATCACATTTCTCACTTCCTTCTTGCTTGATGCAAAAGAATAAAAAAAAAATCCTTTATTCCTTATGCATGTGTATGTTGGGAAGGTCATACCCGTATGTACTGAAATTCCTCCACTGGAGACTCTGTTCCTGAGGCGACGGCGCTGAAACGGGGATGTTTCCTGGTAATTAGGAGAAGTTTGGTTCTTATGGCTGCCACTATTCTCAGCTCGGAGCCGTGGTGGGTGTTAATTGAATACAAATGACAACCTGGTCCAAAGGAGAGATAGTTTAGAGGAGATGTGGAAGGTTGAACAAGCATTATAGCTGACATTGTATGGTGTTTCTCTACACATTAACTAACAAATAAAGCAACAATTATGTAAAAGAAAAACCCTGAGTTATCCAGAATATTCAAGTCCAAGTTATTTATCTGATCTATTGATTAATTGTTAAGAGCAATAAAATTTGCTCCTGTAAATACTTTACCTAAATAACATCTACTTTTAGGATTAGGAAGAATTTAGTATGCAAACCCAAAAAAAAAAAAAAACAATAACAACAACAACAAAAAAAACATGATTAAGAATGAAAAGGCATAATTATTTTTAACCTTATTAAGATACATTTCTTTAGGCTCTTTATTTTTATTTAAAAAAAAAATATGCAGACAGGAAGCAGGACTAGAAAGAGGGCGAAGACATGAGTCGGATGTCAGTAGGCCACGTCGAGGACCAAAGCCTCTGTGTTTAGATCAGTGGTGTCAAAAGTACACACATTTGTTACTTAAGTAGAAGTATAGATACTGCAGTTTAAAAACACTCTGGTAAAAGTTGAAGTATCAACTTGTCCTCTCGTCTTTGATTAAAGT